GTTTTTGCATATGTAAATACCACTGAGCATCCTTGAATATAAATACCTGTCTATGTCTTTATTTCATTAAGACGTAAATCGAGCAGTAAGATTTTAAAGTCAGGGGCATTAATTATTTGAAGGCTCCTGGTACACGTGCTGCCAGATTGCTTTTCAGGTGACTTGCGGTCTCAGCGGTGTGAGGGGACCCCCCCAGTGATGCTGTCTTTTCAGAGTCAGTGAAGTGTTAGGTGCCAGTATTTTTGTTTATTTTTTTCTGTTCCAGCATTCTTTTTTGACCATATCTTAATAGCCATCTTTGTCACAGTATCAGTGGTGGGGGGGGGGTATGGTAGGCAGTTAAAATGAGCTTTGACAGTGTTAATAAACGCTTTGGAAGAGAGGTCTTGATTATTAGGTTTTTAAATTCTATATAACTTCCAACTTATGTTCAGTTCGTCTGGCAACGCAGTAATTGTGGGTTGACTTTATTTATTTTGGAGTAATTTGTAGGTGCCAGCGTTTGCTTAAGTCATTATTTGTTCTGTGAGCACTTTATACCAGGGCTGTCATCATACTAATTTTTTATGTGTCACTTCCCCTTAGGTAGACATAGTGACATGCTTAGCATTTCTGTCACCTTAATGAGGGGCAGTACCTTTTAGGAATTTGAACTTGTTACCTGTGCTGCTGCTCCAGGTTCTGTGACTTGGATGTTAACTCCTTTATCTCCACAAATACTGAGTACTACTGAGTACTACTATAAACACTAAGTACTACTAAATACTACTACAGACACTAAGTGCTGCTAAGTACTACTACAAACACTGAGTACTACTACAAACATTAAGTACTACCAAGTACTACTACAAACACTAAGTACTGCTAAGTACTATTACAAATACTGAGTATTACTACAAACACTAAGTACAACCAAGTACTGCTACAAACACTGAGTACTACTAAGTACTACTATAAACACTAAGTACTACTCCACGTTGGTTAATACATCTCCTGGCTCCTGAACACATTCCATTTCCTTGATGTGTCCTGGACGATGGCTTGTTTTACTCAGAGGAAATACAGATGACTTAAACCAGCACTGCAAGGGATCGATCTGCATTGGCAGCCCAGTCACTGCTTGAGAGGCTGCGGCAGGCTTTTCAGCCCGGCATCCCGGCCACCTCCGTGACCCCCCGAGTCCATTAAAATTGACGGCTTAGAAGAAAACTTTCAGAACATGTGTCAGTAGGCATGCTTCCCACGGGGAAATACTTTCTTAGACATTTGGAGATACGGTTTCTCCTGGTCAGACATTTTTCATAATAAATAATTGACTTTAACCTTTTCATGTGTGGTTCCCATCTTAATTCTATCCCGCGACTGCAGGCGGATACCCCTGACAACCATGGAGTAGCAGTCAGCCAATCCAGTGGGCAGCCGTGGCTTCTTTCGTGAGCGAAGACTTCACACGTTGCGTGTGTCTTCATCCTCGACTTGTAGCTCAGAGTCATGCCTGCCGGGAGGAGGTGCGCTGTTCCAGGAATGTGGGGTGTTGCTCACTTCAGTTGAGGAGAGCCGCAGAGGCAGCAGCCTGGGAGGGTCGGGCTTCCTCTGCGCGGCCTGCAGGTCGTTGGTCCTCCCGGAGGGTTTGGGTTTTTTGTCTTCCTTTCGGCCTCCACCCTGGTGTGGTAGAGGCCTCCTAGAGCCCAGCAGAGGGGCCAGGGTGGGGGCCCTCGCTGGGAGAGTGTTAGTTCCTGCACTCAGGCCGGCTTCTCTGTGAACCTAACAGTGTGATGCGGTATTTCTCCTGAGTCAGATTTACAGTTTTCATTTTTTCATATTTGTAGAAGATAACCCGATAATTTCCGTGTGTAAGGAGCATAAATACAGTTTTAGCGTGGCTTTTCAAAAACTCACCTTTTAGTCGTTTGTGTTAGAGTGCACGGGTTTTTTAAAAAGCATGTAATTTGGGAGATTTCTGTGCATTGGAAGGTCGGTGGTCTGATTCTGTGGGGAAGGTTATACTACCCCAAACAAAACAGCGGCTGGAGAAGCGGCCAAGGTCTGCACGTGGCTCTGTGTGTTCGAGTCCTCTCCTTTCTCTGGCTGTGGCTTGGTTCCCAGCGGTGACCCAGGCAGAGCCCGTTGGTCCAGGGGGCCGTCCTGTCCTCCCCCTCTGCTGGGGGCGGTGGGAGTGGGGACATCGTTGGGTGTGCAGTCCAGGCTGTGTCGCGATGATGTCAGGGAAAGGCTAAGAGTGAATTTTGACAAGAAGAGCAGGGTGAGTTCCAAAACGACAGGAGGTTGAACGAGGCTGGCTCTACAACTGTTTTCAGCAGCTTGCCCAACGTGTGCCGGGCCACCCACGCTTCCTTCCTCCTCTTCAGCCACACCCGCACCCGCAGCGCTCCTGCTCTCCGGGCTGGGGCGGCGGCAGCCTCTGCTTGCAACACCAGCTCGCGCTGCTTCCGCAGGTGTTTGGAAGGCTCTTGACTCCTCTCTCTTAGGTTCTCTCTCTCTCAGGTTCAGCCCCGGTCTCTGCCTGTGTGAGCAGATGCTCTCCTCGAAGACTGCTTTAGAATGACCCGATTTCGTGGTTTTCCTGCTTTGGAAGATGTCATCTTAGCTATGCAAGTCGTTAAAAATACTGAGTGTGATTGAGGGCATGGGGAAATGTGCGCCATGTCGAGGAAGAGTAATTGCTGCCCTTCACATGCAACATCCTAGTGTTGTGAGGAAGCACAGGTCTCCAGGATGGACACTCGGACCTAAAGGGAGGCCACCCTGGGGGCATTGCAGGTGGGCCTTCGCCCTTGCTGGCACTGCCCTGCGTTCTCCAGACACTCTGCAGGGAACTTGTTTTGTGGGGAGAAATACTCAAAAATGGACGCAACCACCCACCCTCCCCCACGTCCGTGTGCGCACGTGTGAGTGCGTTCCACGCTGCGGCAGAATCGTGTCTGGGCATACAAGACACACAGGAGATGGCTTGGAAGCAACATGTTTAACAGAGGGTAGAGAAATGGATGAGTTTTTGAAAGTCTCCTCTTTCTGCCAATCTGTATGTTCTAATCGTCATTTTTCCTACATTGCACAGGTGTTTCACAGTGGAAACAGAAACACTGAAAGGAAAGTGATGGAGAAGGTGCAGGGGCAGGCTACAAGAGACACAGTTACGTGTCGAACAAGTGGAGAAGGGGCACACGCATATTTGCAGGAAGACCACCAGACCGAATGCTAATAGTGCCGCCCTTCACCGGTAGGGCTGCGGGTGCCTGTTTATTCTTCCTGCTTTCCGGTCTGCGTTTGTGAGATTTTTCTGTAAGGACCTGTTACTCTGGTGGGGAAAAATATAAAGAAATAGTCCTTTTTTGAAAGAATCGATTGGATAGAAGTCATTTTAGTGTCAATTTAAAAGCAAATGCTTAGATTTTGTGCAGTTTTACTGAAAACTCATGAGTCTTTGACACTCAACTAGAGAGCACCCATTTTCAATTTAATGCATTTTAGGAAAAATGAGCAGAATTCTCATGAAAGCCAGAGAGAGACAGTAGCTCGGTAAATGCCTCCTCTTGAGGTGGAGGGGGGGCTGGAGAGCCCCTGCCTGGGCGGGGGAGCACGCCGCCGTCGGGACAGGGGTGTTGGTGGTAAGTGAACCCTTGCTCTGTGCCAGCTTTCATGCCAGACACGTGGCTCTGCTGGTTCACGCGGTCCTCACCGCGAGGTGAGGGTCTGTCCTCACTGCTACGGTTTCTGAAGCAGAAACTGGCTGTATGGAGAGACTGGGCCTTGCCCGGGCCCCTCGGCCAGTGACTGGTGGGCTGGGACCCCGGTCCAGTCGCTGGCCTTCAGACGACGCCAGGCCCACTGGGTCATCACACCGCCTGGCCGCAGAGACTGAGGATGGCACAGGCTACTGGAGAGGAGCTGCAGGTGCAGGTGGTAGGAGGAGCTGCCATGCCCACTTGGAGCTGAAGGACCAGGTGTGTCCTGGGGCCCACCTGCACCAGACGCGGGCCTGTGCCCATGACTTCGCTGGTGCCCCGATTTGTGCTGTCAAACTGTCTCCTCCTCCCTCCGTCCCCTCGTCCCCAGCGGTACACTTGCTTTCACACCCACCTTTCCCATCTGCTTTCCACACCTCTTTGCGCTCCCTTCCCCCCAGGCTCACGTGAACTTGAACTTAATGATCGCCTGGACACTCACCTGTAGTATACTGTGTGCCTTGCCTCTGGCCCAGTACAGATGTGTAGCCTCTCAGCTCTCTGGGTGCTGCTATTTCAGTGTCCTGGAATGTCCTTACAGGCCACCTCCAGTCAGCACGCCCTCCCTGGGCCACAGCCCTGGACATCAGTGACCTGCTGGCGTTCTCTTTGTCCATAGCGATCACACCATCTGCACTGTCCCGAGGAACAGACCTGTCGCAGGGGGGTTGTACGTGTTCACCAGGGGTGGCGTTCTCATTGATTTCCGCCGGCCTGCTGGAGGCCTGGGTTGGAAAGGCTGCCCTCCGGAGTCACTGGCGCGGTGTTTCATGAGCCCGGAGGGGCTTCTGCGGGCAGGTGGGGCTTGGAAGCCAGGCCGAGCAGGATGGAGCCGCACACTGCTGTCTCTCGGGCAGCGTGCGCCGCCTTATGCCTTCCTTGCAGGTCTTAGCCAGGAGGGTTCTGGGAAATCCGGATTTGTGTCTGCTACCCGGGAGGCGTTTAGAAAATGACTAGTTTCCTGTAGTTGGTTATTATGACTTCTTCCTCCTTCCAGTGGAATAACCTTTCTGACCTGTCTACCTGAAACAGTCTTTGTGTACCTATGCACTGTGGAATCCCTGCGGACCACAGAGGTTCCTGGAACGGGCTGCAGTTCACGGAGGGGAGAAAGGTGTGGGAGCCTGGGTCACTAGAGACAAATAGGACATCTTCGTATGTTCGGACCCAGCCTTAGGGTATATATATTTTGACTTGAAGCAAAGTTAAAGCAAATAGAACTAAACTAAAGTCTTTCTCTGTGTTTTCTTCTAGGAGAAAGAAGCACCGAACAGAACAGAGCCGTAGCAAGGACCGTTGGGAGCGCAGTCCGCAGGGCATGTCTCGGAGCCGGTACAGAGCCGCCGACTCTCTGTGAGCCGTGTCCTCCCCCTCGGCCTTGGTTCCCAGGGCTGCCCGGGCACTGCAGGACCCTCTGAGATCGGGAACAGTGTAGTCACTTTCTGCGCTAACAGAAATGCCCTCCATAGTGTGATTAGACGTGGGCTAACAGTTAAGAAGATGCTCAGTAACAAGGATATTTTTTCTCCCAACCTTCCGTGAATTATGATATCCTGTTTTTAGGTATACAGTTATAGTTTCATAGACACTATGAAAGGGATATGTGTAGGAAAAAGTGAATTCTGTGATAGTTTGATAGTGAGAGTAAGTGATCATTTCACTACAGGGTAATGAATGTGTCACTATGAAGAGATCTTCTAAGATTCTTTCCCGTGAACTTGCTAGTAGATTAAAAATTATTTCGCAGTGTCCTTTTGCCAGTGCAGTTCTAGGGGCAAGAGACATGTCAAAGTGTTAACAGTGATTATCTCTGGGCACCCTGAAAAAGACTTTTTCCTTGTCTCTGTATTCATTTACCACCTTAGTAGTTAAAAATTTTAATTAATCAGATTAAGTTTCAATGTAAACAAACATTTCTCCAAATAAAATGTGATTTATATTCCACTTTCCAGGATTGCATCTAAAATAAAGTGATAGATTAAAAAAGACAGTATGTACCTTGGGGGCCAGCTGAAGAAGTTTGTTTCGAAACTCAAGTTGCATTTGCAGACTTAGATAGAATTTTAAGAATAATTACTGCCCTTATAATTAATTGAAGTTAAATATGTAAAGATAATTTTCTGCCCCCTGGAGTTAGCTTAGAGTTCTATTTTTGAAAATTAAATATGCTCAAATTAAATGTTTTTGGGTGGAAACCACTGTCCAAATAAAGCAAGATCTTACCATTTGGATTTTCCTTTTAATCTTATTAAAATTATTAGCTCTGACGCCAAAGATAATACACAGAATAAAAGAAATTTGCCTTTTTTTAAAGTACCCAAACATAGTACTGATGTCTTATCTAAAAAATCTTACTAAAAACAGAATTAATAACTTAGTTTTAGGTTCTGAAATAACTTTGCAGAAACGATGCAGCACCGTGGTCGAGCACAGAGCTGGTCTCCAGTGGCTCACCACTCCCGAGCTCCGCCCCTGCGGCTTAGGCCGAGCTACTCACGGCTCTGGGCCTCCTGGGGGGGCTGCGGGTCCCCGTCTCTAGGGGCAGCTGTCCGAGTTAAAGGTGGGGGCCAGAGAGCACTTCACATGTGACCGGTAATATTGTGCTCACTCAGTAAGTGCTAGTTGGTATTTATCACTACAGTAATTACTAAGAAGAAACATACTAGTACACGTTAACATTGGCTTATGCTATTTATGTGTATATATGTTGAGGTAGTCTGTATATTTTGACTTATTTTATTCATATATACATGTATATGAATAAATATGGGGAGTTCTTATCATTTCAGTTTGCACATGAGAATGACTTCATGCCCCTTTTATAGCTGATATTTTAACTCTCAAGATACTGTTATCCTAAATGTAACATTGTTTAGAGTAGTCTAGTGTTTATGAAGGGCCTATGAAATAAGAATTCAGTTTCAATTTATTTACTTCAGGCTTTTCCTAACACTTTGTTAAAATGAAGCTGTGAAACGAAGAAATGTTACAGAAACCTACTTTTGTTGCTCCTCTTGTTTTGTAGGTGTCCATGGCAACACTGAGAATGACTTCCTCCTTTTCCCCAGACACCCTCCTATGAGAGGACCCGCGTCGGACGGCCTGCACGTTGTCTCCTCCCCGGGCCAGCATGGCAGGGTTCAAGCGAGGGTACGACGGGAAGATTGCGGGCTTGTACGACCTGGATAAGACCCTGGGCCGGGGCCATTTCGCGGTGGTCAAGCTCGCCAGGCACGTCTTCACGGGCGAGAAGGTGGCCGTGAAAGTAATCGACAAGACCAAACTGGACACGCTGGCCACTGGCCATCTTTTCCAGGAAGTGAGGTGCATGAAGCTGGTGCAGCACCCCAACATCGTGCGCCTCTACGAGGTGATCGACACCCAGACCAAGCTGTACCTCATTCTGGAACTCGGGGACGGAGGGGACATGTTCGACTACATCATGAAGCACGAGGAGGGGCTCAACGAGGACTTGGCCAAGAAGTACTTCGCGCAGATAGTCCACGCCATCTCCTACTGCCATAAGCTCCACGTGGTCCACAGAGACTTGAAGCCGGAGAACGTGGTCTTCTTCGAAAAGCAGGGCCTCGTGAAGCTGACGGACTTCGGTTTCAGCAACAAGTTCCAGCCGGGGAAGAAGCTCACGACCAGCTGCGGGTCCCTGGCCTACTCTGCTCCAGAAATCCTGCTCGGCGACGAGTACGACGCGCCCGCAGTAGGTAGGTCGCCCGCCTGCGCCCGGTGCTGGCTCTCCTCGAGTCTCCCGGCCGGAGCGCGGCTGGTCGCACCAGCTCTTGGTTCTTTTCTCCGTCTGGAAATAACGTCTACTAGGATTCCTAGTACGTGCATCTCCGTGAGCAGTTCGGGTATCATGTGAATGCCACCTCGCCCTGGGGTCGCCGTTCGTTCCCTTCACCCTTTGAGTGGCAAGTGTCTCTAGTGTGTTTGTCAGGACAGTGACAGTGAGTGAGTTAACGTGTAAGTAACCTCTCACCTGCCTGTTGTAGTTTTCGCTGAGGCTCTGAGCACTTTTCCAGCCCTCTTAGATTCTTCTCCCGGTCACCCCCGCCCCGTGAGCACCCGTCACAGTCCCACGTCGGAAGGGCGCTGTGAGCGCTCCAGTGCGGCGTGAGGAGTTTGGGCGGCGCCGCCATTTATGAATCGTGACCCCGAACAGAGGGCTTGACCTCTCTGCTTCATGTCATGTCTTCTGTAAAAATGGAGTTAGGCCCTCACTGGCCCCACGTGCAGCCAGACGCTGCTTCTGGAGTCAGACTGCGCGTTATGGAAGGCGCAGGCGGGCACATTCCCAGACGGCAGGCCCCCCCGCAGACGCTCCCGAAGTGGGGGGAGGAGTGGGGTTCACTTCGTTGTCCGCGATGCTGCCCGAGGGGTCTGGGAGGGAAAGTCGCTGTGGCAGAAACACTCCGCCTTCTTATCAGTGTTCAGACGCGTGCTAGCAAATGTCAGCCATACACTCTATTTTTAAAAACAGAAACAATGATAAAACCAGGTAATGAGCCAACAGTTATCCTTCGTCCACAGAGGCGAGAGCATGTTCAGCCTCCACCACGTTAAAAGCATGAGCTTGTGTTTATCTCAGAGCAGTTTTCTGGGTTGGTTTTTTGGCTTTTTTCCTTGTTCAGTGAGGCCTTAAGTTCCGATGGAGGTTTCGGACACGTGTCACAGTTGTGTTCTGAAGCATCTGTAAATTATTCTTTTCTCTGGCCGAACACGTGAAGAGCATCTCAAAATCCAGTGTGACGGTGACGATGACTGTCTGGTCTGTCGGAAAAGACTCGCCTTGTCTTGTGAGAAAGTAGGTTAGTGAGACATAAGGTGAGACGTTCTGGACTCTTCATTTACATGCAGCTAATGGATCGTGCTGCAGAATACGCGAGCTTTTGGAAATCCTGGCGCATCCGAGGGCTGTGGTTAAACTGGAAGCCCGTGCACCGAGGCCGCCGTTTCTTGCTGCACTGTGGTCCTGTGATAGAGCATCTCAGCACAGCCCCTCCTGTGAGAGTCTTCTCGGGAATCTAGCAAGCGGGTGGCTGCCAGAAGAACCCATTGCAGCATTATGTGTATAGTACGATCAGATATTCTCTGAAAAATTTTTGGGGAGGATTACTCTTTCCTGTACAGGTAGTACGTCCTAAGCTGCACCGCCTTTGTGGTAGAGCTCTGAAGCAGTCCTACAGGATGAAAATGGATGGGGAAGTTCCCCTTTGGTTTACGTAAGTCTGCTGTTACGACTTACGTCATGAATCGGGAACTCCTTGCTTTTGGTTCAGATTTATTCCAGAAAAGCTGTTAACGTACTTGCTTTCACAGTGCGTCCCAAGCTGCACCACGTCTGAGTCTGAGTGTGTGCGGTTTCAGTTCCCGGCTCAGAGTAACCCTCTGTTAGAGACGGGTGTCTTAGCAACGCTGCAGCGCCTGCAGACTGGGACCTTCCCTCCCAGAGTCAAACCTGGCTACCTTGCATCTTTCTCACACTTCCACCCTTTGTGCCTGGACTTGTGGGCCCTGCACGGTTCTAGGTCAGGAGATCTTAGGCCTGTGCAGTCTCAGGTCTGAGTGTGGGGTTCGGGGTGCTACACGCTAAGGGATGATTTGTGCCTCCTCTCTGCACAGGGAAGGAAGTCGGCTCTGCTAAATGTAATGTGGTGTCTGCTTTCTTTTAAAAGGAACACATCAAGCCTGCCTGCAAGTTAGGTGCCCGGCGGAAATGCACCGCCACCTGGGGTCCCTGCGTGGTCACACGCGGTCACACGCATCCGTTGTTGAGGACTGGAAAACGTTTCCATGGCAATGTGGCACACTCCCTCCCAAACCCAGCCACCAAGCGCAAGGTCACGTAATCTGAAAGATACCTTGTACCCTTTACAGAGTATAACGTCATCATTTGTCCTATAAAAACCAAAAGCAAAAAAAAAAAAAAATGTCCTCTTGTAAACACTCGGAAGTGTCACGTGCGCATGAGTCATGCCATGTATTGCAGAAAGCAGAAGTCACTGATCTGGCATGAACGCTCTGAGCAGAGGCGCTTGGTTCAGCCTCAGCTCCGTGTTCACGCCGTGCAGGCCCGTGAGGTGGGTGCCGTGTGAGTACGCATTTCGGAGGCAGGTAGCAGAGCTGCCGTGCCTTCGGTAAAGCCTCGCTGGTTTTCTACATAAGCTGCTGTTGAACTTCCTATGTGTAATCCAGATTCTTGAGCACAAAACGTTATGGGCGGGCTACTCCACAGGCAGCATAAAGACGGCGATTTCAGGCTGACTCAGCCATTGATTTCGCAGGGACAGGCCTGGGACGTGCGATAGAGATGACTTGACGTGTTTTCTGTGTTTTTCCCTGATGCATTTTTCAGTCCTGCCGCTTACGTTCTCGCGGTGTTACAGGGCCCAGAGCAAATGAGGTACACGTCGGCACTATTTTGAAAAGTATAGTTTACTCTACTGTACTAGTGGTATGATAAGTTTTAAGCAGGTGGTTCTCAACTCACCACCCATGAATTTCAACAGAATTGATTACAGCAAAAAACACGGCGCCCTGGCCGGTGTGGCTCAGTGGGCTGGACGCCGTCCCACAGAGCGGAAGGTGGCTGGTTTGATTCTGTCAGGGCACGCGCCTGGTTGCAGGTTCAGTCCTGCTCAGGGTGCGTGTGAGGGGCAACCCATCGATGTTTCTCTCCCTCTCTTTCTCCCCCCTTACCCCCCCTAAACAAACAAACAAACAAACAAACAAACAAGATCTTTACGACAGAACGTGCCGACCCTGCCCGGGCCCCACCCCCACAGGCTCTCCTGCGTCCTGGGTGAAGCCATCACCCAGAGCTCCCCTGGGCGGGTGACCGCGTCCAGCCTGACTTGCTGGCAGTTTGAACCCACAGATTCAAATGTTTTTAGTTACTAGTGGAAAAGCAGATGCCCAACGTTTTAATTTTAATGTTCTATAAAGAATACGTGTTGGGGGAGTGGGGAATTGAACCTCTAGCTTCAAAAAGCGAACAAGAATGTGTATTTGTTCTTTGATGCTGCTAGCTGAGCAAAGTCCCCCCATGCCCCTGTGCCCACCCCCGTGCCCCCCCCCGTGCCCCGGTGCCCTTCCCCCCGCTTCAGTCACACCCCGTGCTTGTTTACTGAGCGCCAGGCCACTTCAGGGCCTCTGGACAGTTTCCCGATGCGGTTGCAGCTCCTGGGGCTTCCAGCCAGATACCCCTCAGGGACCCTGCTCTGCCTCTCCCCCGAGGAGCCCGGGCTGGCCTGCCTGCCTTCCTCCTTCCGCTGCCACCCCCTGGAGCTCTGGTCACATCGGGTCACGGCGTCCCCTGGCCTCGTGCAGGGCCGCCGCCTCCAGAATCACGTTCTTCGCCCAGATTTCTAGCTCCGCTGCGTTTTCCGACGGGCTGTCACGACTGTTCGCTGCACAGGGCTTGTGTTTTGAGCGGGCCTGGTGCCCCTCTTACCCCTGCCCTCTCAGATCCTCTGTGGGGTGGCAGAGGTGCTCAGGGCCCGTAATTGGAGGTCCTGTTTGAGTACAAACCCCAAGACACTTTTTACCCACATTTCAGCCTGGACCCCAAGCTGGGAGTCTGGGGCTCTGGTCTGAGGAGGTGGATCGGGCTGAACGCTGTCAGAGCGAGAGTCTCAGAAAGAAGATAAGAGAAGGGAGGGATAAGAGAAGGGAGGGATTTCCTCCTGGGAGCAGGCTTCCTCTCCCCCGTTTCCTGTTGCCAGGGTGCTCAGGTGGCCACAGTTCAGGTGAGAGCAGGCCCTGTGGGGGGGGCTCTGGGCGAGGCTGGGTCCGGCACTGCAGTGGGGACAGCCGCCAGGGGAGGGCAGCGCCCGGGTCCCCAGGTTGAGGTGACAGTGGCAGGTACCCACCCCTCATACAGGACACGGTGCCCATCAGCTCCTCTGCTCTGCCCCTGTTGGTCTGTTTTCATCCCCCTGCCCCGCGTTCAGAACACTTTCAAGGCCTGACAGCTGGAGCCCTCCCGCCAGCCAGTGCAGCCCTCGAGGCTGGCTTCCCCGTTCCTCCCTGACTTCTCCCTCCCCGTTCCGGTGCTCCTGGGCTCCAGCCACACGGTCTCCTGGCTGTCAGTCACACTCGGCCGCCCGCACCGGGGGCTCAGGCCCCTGCCTCCTCCCACCCTCAGCGGACGCCACCCTCGCCCCACACCTCCCTCCTGGCCCTGACGTCCGCTTGCAGGTGGAGAGCCCCACCCGGCCTTTCTCTGCCCCGCGTGACTCATTCCGCTGGTCTCTGTCCTCTCTGTTCGTGTCAGTCAGTTGCGGGGAATGATAGTTCCTGCCCTCTGGGCTGGTGTAGGGATTAGGCGAGTGACCAGTCCGTGTGAGGTGCTCGTCACTCCGAGGTGGCCCTGATGGGACCCGGCAGTGACAGTTTCTGGGGAGCCCCTGTCCCCTTGAGTCAGGAGGTTGCACGCGTGGTCCTGGGGCCCTCGTGCTCCCGGGGGCTTCTCGGGAGCGGGAGCACTGACGTGCAGCCACTTCCTGGGGTCACTTCCTTCCCGGCCGTGGCTTCCGTCAGCCAGGGCCTCCTGCGGCGACGTGGACTTGGGTGGAGGGGAGGCGAGCCCGTGCGCCTGCGGAGACGGCGCTGGGATTCCAGAGCCTGCCCCTCACCCGGTCGACATCTCTGGCGGCCGTCATTGTGTGCAACCTGCTTTCTGTGTCACCTGCTTGGTCTTTGG